TTTCCAAGAAATCTATCTGATTTGCATAAGATCAACTTATTGAGTTGGTAATAATAATAATCCTTCCATTTCATATTGTGCCTCGTTGAGATAAGGCACTATATCAAAGGGCTTCACAAAATATACTGTAAAGTGTATTGTCTGTGTATTTTGTGGGCAAAACACAACAGCCAATTGTCCCACAAAGAGTCGTGGATTAATATTTATGAAGGAATTATTACTCCCAGAAAGCAATCCGCCAATCAACTAACAACCGGGTTCCTACTTACTGCTTAGTAAACAGAGATTGTGTGGAGTAAGGAAACTTGCCTAAAGTTTTGCTCTGCCCGGGAATTGAACCAGAGTCCTCTCACTTGCGAGGCGAGTGTTCTAACCAATATGTTACAGGAATCCACTGATTCTATATAGCTATGCAAATTTCTTTTAGGGATACAGTATATGAGTAATTTTGCGACGTGACATATAGTAAGTCTAGTATGCTTGGAAGAACAAGTTAACAATGGATCTACGGTTCCCAAAGCTTTCCACTCTGTTGTAGACAAATCCATATAGAGTTAATTGCTATAAACATCTCCATTATTGTAGCATATGATTAACCAGGATGGTGGAAGGCGAACTAGATGGACCTTGGTCCTTTTTCGTCTAGCAATTCCTATGTTCTTATTTCAGAGTTGCTTTTAACATGCTGGTGCATGTTAGTAACAATTTTTAACAACTCTGCATGTGGTCACACCATAAGCATGTGCACTGTGCAATGGATATCGTGCAAGTGAGTTTGTGTCTGTGATTCTCCCACACAGCAATGTCCAGATATTGGCCAAGGCTTTTGGTGGAAGGTGGCTTCCAAAGTGAACCTGATACGTGTCCTGGATTGGCTTCAAGGATCCTCCTGATGGCTGTCTCAACTCTTGTTAGTGTTCCGTTACACTTTGTTTGGTCCAGTGACCATTCTCCCTCCCTCTGACATTGATGGTGCAGGTTATTGAGCTCATATTAATAACAATAATCTGTGCATTTGATATCATGTGTTATCACCTTTTTGAGATGTCTTGAACCGCTCACAAGATTTTACTTTCAAGTGTAGCGACTGTGCATTTGTAGGTGAACACGGCAACCAATTTGCACACAGCAATGTCCCTCAAACTGCCATGAAGTTAGTGACCAATCTTATTGGGCAGGGGGTGGGGGAGGGACTTGTCAGCCAGGACACCAGGAAAAACTCACTTCTCTTTTCAAATAGCCACGGGGATCTTTACCATCCACCTGAACAGACAGAAGGTTTAACATGCTATCGTGGCTAAACCTGTTCCATTTCTTCTCCGTCTGAGATCATACAGATGTACTTTCCAACACGGTTCACAAGAATGTGAACCTTGGCAAATTTGTGTCTCCCTTCCTAATTCAGTGACATTGTAATGATCTTCCACACACACATGCGTGCACACACACACACACGCAACCACCCATGCTGATATTAGTTGTGTTGCTGCAGACAAAGGATCAAACCTTGGCTTAGTATCACTGAGCATTAATCAGTGAGCCGTTGAAGCAACAGCACATAATATTGTCTTCCTCTCGAGATGTGGACTCAGGGCTGCAGGAGAGAAGGGGGTGGGGGGGAGAGTAATTCCACAATCAGCCCTCAGGAGCCCTCTTCATTTGTCAGCAGAAGGTTGTTATTGTTGGCAAGGTCCGTATGACCGCACCCCAGCGTTGGGGGCTGGGGACCAGGGAGGCAGGCGAGTGCCAAATGGAAGGTGAAAAATTAAGGAAATCAACGTTAGGGTTTGCACTCAAATTAAAAGCAATAGAGGAAAAAATGTCAGCGGGTTGCTCAACCGGGGAGGAGCGTAAGAAGAAACCACTGGCAAGTTTTCCCGCTGCTTGTCCAGCTAGGACCACCCTATCCGTTGGGGCTTTGGCTTGCAGGAGCTGAGTGGGAGGATTCCCTGCCCCCAGGGAGTGGTCTGACCTTCCAGGTCCCGCCGATGTGCTGTCATCAGCAGTGGCCTGGAATATGGCAGAGCCGCCTGGCTCAGGAAACGGACTACAGAGACCGCCACAGAGGGCCGGCTTGATTCTGACAGTCCGTTGTCAAACATGTCACCTTGGAGCCAGTTCAGCTCCCAGGAGCTCCCACTTATCTCCCCCACAAGCATAGTTGGGTAAGAAGAAAGGAGATGGGGGGTTTGTACGGTGCTCCCCCATAATTCAAATCAGTTTTCATGCTGAAAATCATAACTTACTTTCCCCGCTAGCTGTTTACTCTCTTTGCTCTTTTTTAATAACAATAATCCTTGCATTTGATATAGCATCTTATCACATTGTTGAGACGTCTCAAAGCACTTCACAGGATTTACTGGAAAGCGTAGTGACTGTATTTTGTGGGCGAAACGCGGCAGCCAAGAGGGTGAATGACCAATTTTTTGAGGGGGAGGTGGAGGGATTTTTGACTGGGATACCGGGAGAAACTGCCTTCTCTTTTCAAGTAGCGCCATCATGGAATCTTCACTGTCCATCTGAACAGACAGATGAGGCTACGGTTTAAAATCCATCCATGGCCATCCATGGCCTTGCCCCCTCCTAGCTCTCTGACTTGCTGACTCCCTACCAACCTGCCCGCTCCCTCCGTTCAGCGGGCTCTGGCCTGCTTCATGTCTCCCGCCCGACCCGCCCTAACATTGATGGCCGGACTTTCAGCCTCTCTGCTCCCACACTCTGGAACTCCATCCCACAGTCCCTTCGCCTCGCTTCCTCCTTGCCTCCTTCAAGGTCGGTCTCAAGACCCTCCTCCTCGCCCTCCCACCTCTCTGCCTTCCCTCACCCCTACTCCCCCCTCCCCCATGCTTGGGCCCCGACACCTGACTGTTCAGCACTTTGGGACATCCTCCCAACGTGAAAGGCGCTCTATAAATGTAATTTTGTTGTTGTTGTAATGTCCCACCTGAAAGACGGCACCTCCGACAATGCAACAGCCCCCCCAGCACTGCATTGCAGTGTCAGCTGAGCGCTGTGGGAAACCGATTGTTCGTTTTCCATGCTCCCCCCAAGAAATAAGCAATGTTATGTGGAGAATCACAGCACACAACCACTCTGCAAAGTTTACTTTTATTAAATACAGTGCTACTTAACTCTTACAGCGCCACATCCCTTTGCCCTAACCGCAAGTGGGCAGCTCCCGTTTTTTTTGTTTAACTCACTGTCATGAGGTAGTTTTTAAAAGTTTAAATTTAGTGAAATTAAACAAGTAGTGAACGGTAGATTTTTCTCCCTGAACACCCGGCCCCCCTCACCCCCTGAATTAAATAATGAATTGATTAATGCACGTTTCAGTCGTCAGAAATGGTGTGTTTCACAAACGGATTTCTGCGGTGGGGTTTGAGGGATGTGAGTTTTATTAGTGAGCAGCTGAGAATTGATTGTTAGAACATCCCGAATGCTAAGACAGGCAATGTCATTCAGAATGGGTTCAAGCTTGGACAGATCATATGTCTGTCACTGAACTGTTTTTAACTTGACATAGCGCTAAATAAATGCACCTTGCTTTGATCTCCAGCACTTCCTGGGCAGACTGGATGATTAGATAAAGATCAGTTGTCCTCATCCCTTAGGAAAATGTAATCTTAGCTACAGTAATGCAGGGACTGGCACTTACTGCTAAAAGATGCAAGACCTATGGGCTTTTTTTATATGTATGTCTATATATTATATACATATGAAAAACACAACAGTAGTGAGTGAAAATGGGAAGGTTATCATGCACTCCTGTCTCCAGGAAATGAGAATGTTTTTTAGTGGTGGTTTCAGAGCAGAGATTAAAAATAGAAAGGATGGTTGGAATAGCGGGTCAGGTTAGGAGCTGCGAGAATGCTGGCAATCCAGGCACAAGCACAGAAACATCGGAGGCTGATCCTCCTGTTCTGGGCTCTGAGGGTCAGCAGCTGATTCCTGCAGCCAGTCATGGATCAAATGCTTTGTGGGAAACACCCTCCCATCCAACAGCAACTGAGTGGTTTAAAAGGTGCAGGTTGTAATGTTTCACACATACCCACAAAGACACACACAAAGATACACAGAAACACACGCATACAGACACAAAGCGAGAGAGAGACACAAACACAACAGCAACTGAGCGGTTTAAAAGGTGCAGGTTATAATATTTCACACACACATACATACATACAGACAGACACACAGAGACAAAAAGACACACAGACGCAGATAGACACAGACACAAAAACACAGAGACAGACCGAGAGACACACCCACAGACACAAACACGCAGAGAGAGAGAAAAAGAGACACTCACACACACACACACAGAGCGAGACACACACAAAGACAAAAAGAAGGAAAAAAGGAAAATAAAGGGTGGGTGAGGAGGTGGAGGAGGAGGAGGAAAGAATAATCTCCAGGTTATACTTAAAATTCAATTACAATTTATTTTAAGATTTGCTTTCCATGGAGAGGTTTATGAGTACCCTCTTGCTTATCCTTCTCTTTACTCAGCTGGCTGACAGTCCAGATGGTATCTAAAATAAGCAAACCACATGAAACGCCCTGCCCTGTATGTGTGTGTGAGTTTGTCTTGCGTGTGAGAGTTTGTGTGTGTGTGAATGTGTGTGCATGAGTACATATGTGTTTGTGAGTGTGTGTGTGAATGTGTGCGTGTGTTTTTGAATGTGTGCACGTGTGTATGAATGTGTGAGTGTGTGTGTGCGGTGTATGTGTGTGTGTACATATGAAACTACAGCTCAATAAATACTATACAAAAATAATGCAGACTTTTTAAAATCTTAGAACATTGTTTAAAAGAGGTTTCGATAAGAAAAATTCTCTATGACACAACTTTACAAAGTGAGGTTTTCTGTAGCATACGATTTGCGTTCAGCACAAACTAATATCTTATAAACAAACTCTTGAGGGGCTCAAGATCATATACAAGCCAATGGTTGTGGGGGGTGGAAGAGAAAGGCCTAAACTCTTAAAAGTGCCACTTCTTTTTGTTTACAGGTTTTATTCATTGAAAACGACTCCCAAATCACAGAAATGCTTTGAATACTGTAGCTGGTCTCCACCACTTACCCAACCCTTTCTCTCCCAATTCTCTCTAATTAGATTAAACACATTTTTTGCTTCCCTTTGCCTGTCTGCCTGCGTCCCCATTACAAATGGAGCTTTGCTTCCTGCCAAAGTCGCTTCCTCAGAGTTTGCACCTGGCAAAGCAATGTGTGAAAGCAGGCACCGGGTGATAAAATGTTTCTCCTCTACAGTATTTATTTTGGGTGCTTTGGTTGCATTACCCCCAGTGAGCTGGCCGCCCACAATTAACAATAAGCATGTCTCCAGAGGGTTGGCGACTAGCATTCGGTTTTAGTAAATATTCCTCCAACTCTAAAGTTAAGGGATGCTCCAGGGTAGGGTGGGGCATAGGGCTTTGGGGGAGCAGGGGAAGGGAGGGAGGTTTGCTTTTAATACTCCCGGGCTTCTTGGAACTGTCTATAGTATACTTCATCTGTAGGATTATCCGTACATTTCAGGCCGTTGTTTGGAGGCCTGACTTCGTTGTACCTGCTCCAGTCTCCTTTGCAGATGATCCAGGGGAGGATGTCCACTTTGTAGTGGAGTTCGGCCGAGAACTCGGTACTGATGAGGTTTGGTGTCCCCGCGCCTTTCCCCCTGGTGATGAGTTGCATGTTTTCATCGTAGCAGCAGTGCTGGGCGGCCAGTGTGGTGCTGTCCAGCGACAGCATTGAGCGGATACAGTAGCGGGCGGTCGGCTTGTAGATCTCCAGCCGCTCCTTGGGGCCACTGGCGTCCTTCCAGCGGAAGTCCTTCAGCTTGGGCTGGTCGTAGATGTCGGCGGTGCTGTAGGCCACTTCGGTTGGGTAGGAGCAGATACAGCTGGGAAGGTCATTAGCCACTTTGTGCATGTATTTTTTTAAGAATTCACTTTTACAGTTCATCCAGCGTTCACAACTGTCGGTATCTGAGAGGAGGAGGGGGCGGGTGTGTGGGAGGGTGAGGTGTTGGGGTGTCGGAGGGGGTGGGGGGAGGGAAACAATGTTCCAATATGTTAGCGTTTGCTTTAAAGAGACACCTGCACAATTTCGGAGTTCTCTCCGCACTTTCAGTTCACGTGACCTACCAGGATTAGCTTCCCCCCGTCCTGCTCACGTGACAACATTCACTTTATTATTCCCCCTAAAACCCTCCAGCCATGAGACCAACCCTGGTTCAACCAGCAGTTGTAGGAGAGCTTGCCGGGAGCCGGGTGTCCACAAAGTTCTGTTTTTCCTCTACGGTGCACTGACCAACAATTGAAACATGTGGCAGAAACATGATAATTGTGTTTAGAAGTACTTAATTGTATTCAGTGCAAATGTTTAACTGTATTTAGACATCCAGAAGATTGGTGTGTGTATGAATGCCATAATTTTCATAGCAGGAAATGATTTGTCGCTATATTTGGTGCGACAATCTTCCCAAACATGGACGGAGTGACGAGGTGAAACGTATCTCTGACAGCTTGTTTCAGCTCCTCCGTAGTCTCATATCACTGTTTTGTAACGGGGGTGGTTGTGGGGGTGGGGGTGGTGATAAGAGGACTTTGAGGACACCCTGCACTTCAGAATGAAGTGTTAAGTTAGTGAGGTTGTAACACAGGGCTCCCTGCGTATCAAACTCCTGGAACAACATGCTAGAGAGACTTAAATCTCATAACTGACAGATCAGAGAATAGCTCTGTTTGCAATGTTAAAGTTTTACATTAAGCAATGCAAGCAACCCACCTACTCCAAATAACTCGGTAGCATTTATGTCTTCTCCTCCAGCCATCAGGCTCATTTCGGTGGCAGCCGTCTTGAAAGTGTCTTCAATTCCTGGTGACGGGAGGGGATGGAGGGGGGAGAATAATAACAATCCTTGCATTGATATAGCATCTTATCATCTTGTTGAAACTTTTCAAAGCGCTTCACAAGATTTTAATAATAATCCTTGAATTTGATTTTGCGCCTTATCACGTCGTCGAGACGTCTCAAAGCATTTCATAGAATATGCAGTACTGTAAATCCTATGAATCGCATTGACTATTTTGTGGGCAAACATGGCAGCAGGTTGTGCAAAGCAATGTCCCACAAACAGCCACGGAGTGAGGGACCAATTTTATTCAGGCGATTTATTGGCCAGGAGAAACTCCCTTCTCTTTTCGAATAATGCCAATGAGATCTTGAACATCCATCCGAACAGGCAGATGAGACCTCGGATAACGTCTCATCCGAAGGACAGGGCGGATTTTGCGATAAAATGTAGTCATTGTGTATTCGTAGGAGAACACGGCAGCCAATTTGGGCACACCAATGTCACGCACAAAAAAACATGAACTGAATGATCAATTTTACGCAGAGGATTGCTGGCCAGGACACTGGAAGAAAATCCTTTCTCTTTTCGAATAGTGCCATGAGATCTTTAATGTGAGCAAGAAGACGGGAGCATGACTTAGCTGAAGGACGCTACCTCCTAAAATGCAGCGTCCCCTCGCCCAGCACTGCATTGGATTGTCACTGTACACTTTGAGCTCAAATTCCCGTGGGATTGAACCTGCAACCTTCTGACTCAATAGGCAAGAGTGGGTTTGATATATTGCTAAGAAGACCTCCAAATTCTCAATGAAACAAATGAAGAAGTGGGTTAAATCCTGAACTGTTTCCTATCAGTTCGCAAATAATAGTAATCACAACCCTTACATTTGATATAGCGCCTTAACACGTCATCAAAAGAGCAGCACTTCTCTCTGCAGTGTTTCAGAGGAATTACTATAAAGCAATCAATTTACAGTCAATTTTGTGCACAGCAAATTGTGCTAACTTCATAAGCCTGAGATTGCACATTCGTGTCTTAGGGCAAGCAGTTACTGCCATTTTCTCAGTTGCTCCACTGGTCACTGAATTCTTTTTTAAAAAAAGTTATTTAAAAAAAACGCTTTATTATTTTATTTTAGTCCTACTCACCCACCCCATTAAGATGAATTAGACCGAAACGTTCCACTTTGGGAAACCCTAACCCCCCCCCCCCCCCCAAAACTCTTCTAGGCCTCAAATTGTCAAAGGACAATATGGACCTGAACCATGTCTTCACAACCAGCCCAAGCAAGTCAGGTGACTGGATGGTCTCTCTGGCAGAGAAAGTCTGGCCTGAGCCGAGTGACCGAGTGCTCAAGGTAGCTCCGAGTTCAAGTATTCTCTGCTTCCTCTTTGTGAAAGCAGATCAAACTCCTCAGATCGGAAATAGTGCAAAACCATTCCCAACCAACATAGGGCTGAAAGCATCCACTGATCACTAACAGCTGGACCAACAAAATGTCCCCGAACTCTCAAACTCCATCTTTCTCTCTCTCTCTCTCTTATCCTTGCTGGCTCCCTTGCTTTCTTCAAGGCCAGTCTCAATATCTTCCTCTTCGACCATAGCTTTGGTCACCCACCCCTCTTGATTCCAACCCACAGTTCGGTCGCAAAACCTTGACTATCCAGCACCTTGGGACATCCTCCCAAAGAGAAAGATCCAATATATAAATGCAATTTGTTGTTGTTGTGCATTTGGTGTGTGCAGGAGGAGCAATCCAACCTGACCCCAGCCAACCTGTTGGATTCTTGTGGACAATTGGATGAATCAGTTCCATCCACTGTCTCATTCTTTGGGGAATAGCTGCTCATTTGTTAAAAAAAAACCAAAGCTTGTTTTTAGCAACAAATAGGTCTCATTCCCACTGGCCAAATGTAGACTGATTTGTTCATTATATATTTGGCTCGACGGGCTGGGAAATAGCCAGCTCTCACAACACTTAAGGCAAGCATAGACTCAAAGATCTCAACTACAAGTAGGCAGCCTGTTAAATGTACTTACTGGACTGATCTCACTGTGGAAACAGTGCAAATAATTAGTCATCACCCACAATACATATTGGCTACAGTGCTAACACAAAATTATACCAGCAATTATACAATCACTATAGTGTTACATACTGCCATCCTCTCTCTCTGAATCTGTTTTTCTGTCTCTGAGGCACTTTCTGTCTCTCTTTTTCTCTCGTTTTTGCTTTTCTTTCTTTCTTTCTTTCTTTCTCTCTTTCTCTCTTTCTCTTTCTCTCTCTCTCTCTCTCTCTCTTTCTCTCTCTCTCTCTCTCACCCTCTCTTTATCTGTGTGTGCCTCTCTCTGTTTCTTTCTTTCTGTATGTGTGTCTCTCTCTTTCTCTCTGTCACTTTCTCTTTGTCTCTCTGTAACTATTTTTCTCCATGTATCTCTTTCTCTTTGTCACTTTCTGTCATATACTTTCTCTGTGTGTCTCTTTATGTCTCTCTCTGTTTCTTCCAGCCCCTGGGCCATAGATTGGAGGGAGTCTGAGGTGCTTCAAACTATTTCCTTGTGGGATACACAAAACTGCTCAGACACTGGAGGACAGTAGTACCAAATTGACACTCGCGTAGAGAGACCATAAGAACTTTACCTGTCTCCCTCTTACACATTCCCTGGAGAAGATAATGGCTTGTGAGGTTCAGACAGTAACATTATCTAAAAGGAACTGGAGAAATATTCTATTTCAGAATTGGATTTTGCGCTATCATTCACCCATAAACCACAGTCACTCCATTACACAGTGAATCTTGTGCAGCTTTGAGATGTGGGGTGGGGAGAAGGGCATGTAAATAGGACTGAAAGGATCGTTCTTTAAAAAAGCCAGCCCGGACATGTTGGGACGAACAGCCTTATTCTGTGCTGTAAATTTCTCTGTGTCTATGGTAATGGATGAGATGGCAAAATTGTACAGGTACTATTATTTTTGAGTGCTCCGTGCAGCTCAGGCTTTGAAGAGGGAGCTTTCCTCTGGGGACGTTAACTATTGTCTGTCAGGTTGCCTCCCTCTGTAGCATTTGTGTCTCTGGATTCAAAGCCCTGCATTGCTCTTGAGCTCACACCCTCAAGGTCTGAGCCCAAATCTTAATACGATAGCGGGGGAACACTGCAGATTTGGATGTGCTACCTATCGGATGAGACGTTAAACCAGGGGGTCCTGGGTGGATAATAATAATCCTTGAATTCCCTGGAGGATGTTAAAAGATCTCATAACACTATTCAAACAAAAAAGAAGGGAGTTTCTCCATTGAATAGAATATTTGATCTGCAGAATTTTCTGAAAGATATTTACTGCCTGTCAAGAAAGGCTCATGAATATAATGAGACTGTCCAGATGTCATATTTAGTACAGTACAAATTGAAACGTGGCTCTGCTCTCTAAATACAAGGTTCTCAACATGAAAACACGAGACATTAAACTGCCCGTCATTAAAAACGACATGCAATCATAGCACAAAATTATACCTAAAGAGTTCCTTTACATCTGCATTAACAAAACAGACATGCTGACATTTATTTCTATAAGTAATCATTTCCCGTTGGAGAACGGTGCTTTGTGAACAGCATCTATAGAAAGGAAAAGCCCAGGTCAGATATAAAAGCTGTACCACCTATCTATAATCTTGGCATTTAATCATCGTGGGGAGGCTTAAAGTTCTGTCAGTTCTATAAGCAGAAAATTAGTAACTATACATCTTTTCAGAATCATAATAAAGGCTTGGGCCATGGCACTGTTCCTTTGAACCTCTTTTCTACAAACTTAATTGCTAGAGTATGTAAGGTTTCCTAGTAATTACTTGTACGTTCCTTAAAGAATAGCTGGACCGAAATTGAACTGTTTTTTTGGTTGTTCGAAACACGCTATGTATACAGCTTTACGAGCGAACCAGCGAACCGCAAACATCCCAGCTATACACAGGCTCAAAAGTTATTCTGGGCTGTTAGAAAGAACTGTGCAACACTGGCTCACAGATTACTATGCGGTGCAGTGGATGCTTGGGACACCGTCTCAAATTAGGACCGAGTTATGGGATTTTCCAAAGTTCCACGTAGCCTTACATTTTAAGGCAGTGGTCTTATGGCTAAAAACCTGGGAAATTTCGGGCCTTGTGTCCCAACAGCTACAACCAATCATCTTAACACTGCAGGATTTGTAAGGTTCCTGGGGAGCACAACTTCATTGAGCACTGAGTGACAGTGTCACTCTGCGTAGCCACAGGAAGCCTGGTGAGGGGATTGGAGAATACCACAAGGATGGGGTAAGAGGTGCAGGAACTGAGGCCGCTCTAAACCACGTTGTCGGGATATAATATAAAGTATCTAAACATGTATCTAACCTGAGCTGGGAGTGCTCTATGCTGACGCTGGATATTAAAATACAAACAGTGATTGTTTTCCAAAATCGATGAACGTAAAATAGTAAATTAATAAATATTTATTAGCAATAAATTTTGAAAGATTGCCTCATGTCAGGAGGACGTCTCAAAGTGCATCACAGGATTTACTGTAAAGTATAGTGTTTTAGTGTGAGGTAAAATTTACTGTAAAATGGAATGATTGGGTATTTGTAGGCAAACATTGCAGCAAAATTGCGCACCACGATATCCCACAAACAGCCAATGTATGAGTGACCAATTTTAAATGGCTTCAGCATAACTCGAAATACTATCTGCAAGACAGGAGTTTCTACAAGAACATGACGGAAGCTGCCTTTTACTTCAGGGCTAGGTCTCGGTCAAGCAAAAACACAAGGTCTGAAACGCTGGCCACAAAACGGGACTCAGCATCTGAAATTTCCCGGGGTTTTTAACTGAATCTTACAGTTTCATTCACAAACCAGAAGCTGGTGCTCAATTAGCACAGTAACCAGTTTGCAAAACGGCCCATTTTCAATTCCAATACAGTATCTCTAAACGGGTAAGAAATGCAGCTTTGGGAACTTACAAACCTATACAGTACTGGAAGCAGTCAGTGTGCACCACACATCACGCTTTCCTACACTGAAAACCGCAGGGAAACTCACCCTCTAGTTTAATTAGCAATGCTCCGACATCCAAATTTGGAGGCTGTGAGAATCCGAGAGATCTGCAGCAAGTGCTGTTTATTTGTGAAATCACAAGAGTAGCCCTGACATATTCCAGCGCTTGTAAAAGCTTTCAGTCTCTAGCAGAGGAATTAGCCAGTCAAGGTTGTACAGCCAGGTGATGCTGACAGGCGCTCTCAACAATCACAGAGTGAGACTGGTCTCTCTTTGCCCGTCCAAAGTCATGGACATTAAATCGCATTTGCCGTGTGCAATTTGTGCTGCCGCTGTTGCTCACAAACACACAGTATGGAAGCAGTGCATCACTCCATTTCACAGTAAATTTTACAGAACACTGGAACGCTATACTTTACCATAAATCCCGTGAAGCACTTTGAGACGTCCTCCTGACATGACAGGCGCTCTTATCGAAATGCATTAATTAATAAATATTTATTAATTTACTATTTTGCATATGGTCAAATCGCTATCACTGTCAGCATCGACCATTCCCAACTCATGAGGGGTAGCATCCGGGAGCGCTTGACAGTGGCAGAATCTGACACTGAGCCAGGGGGAGAGGAAGGGGGGAGGTGAACCATAAGCACGATCGAAAAGGAAGATCTTTAGGCGAGATTTGAAGATGGGGAGGGAGGGGGCAAAGCAGAGGGATTGAGGGAGATAGTTCCAGAGTTTCGGGGCCTTGTGGCTGAAGGCACTGCCACCGATGGTGGAGCGGAGGGGATGAGGGACAAACAGGAGGCTGGAGCTAGCCGAGTGGAGGCAGCGGGTGGTGAATTGGGGGCTAAGCAGATTGGATAGGTAGGGAGGTGCGAGCGCATAAAGGGATTTGATACTTTACATTATACCCCGACAGTGTGTATCAACACCACCACAGTACCAGCAGCTCCTAATCTACCCTTGTGATATTCTCCATTCGCTACTCCAGGCTTCCTCTGGCCTCATTGAGACACGTCAGAGGTATTTAATAACTCAGGCAACTGTTACAATCGTGATAAAAATATCACCTTGTGAGATGCCATTATTATGCCCACAGTCGCCTCTCTGTTCCCCCCCCACCCCCGATCCCTCACTCCTAATGCCACCACTGGACACTATCCTGCATAAAAGGTAATAATAATAATAAGCCTTGTATAGCACCTTATCATGTCATTGAGATGTCTCAAGTGCTTGGATCAGTGCACGTTGTTGTTGGTGGTGGTGTATTAATGACAACAATTTTACATTTATACCATGCCTGTCATGTCAGAGGGTGTCTCAAAGCCTCTTGACTTTATTGGTTTACTATTTAATATCAGTTTACATTATGCCACATAACCTCTCCACAGAATCTGTAGTCACAACGCATTAAGTGAGCGCATTGCATCCTGTGCACCACTTATACTGGGTAACGTGTTGGACAGTAGCTGAGTGACGGCAGGAATAGTCGGTTGCCGTAGTGATTCAAATCCCTGAACCTATGCACCAATGTTATCCAAACAAGTACCGCCCTATTTCAGATCCCACCGCACCACCACAAAGAAACTGGAAGACATTCTGAACATCCCTGGCTTGACGTCAACTCCACCACTGTTCAGGTGGACCTTAAAGATCTGTGTTGTAAACTTCTATGATTCTATACGTTGTCTGTTAATTCAACACTGTTTTTTAAAAGTAATAATCATAATAATAATCCTAGCATTTGATATAGCGCCTTATCACGTTGTACTGACATCTCAAACCGCTTCACAGAATAGACTACAAAGTGAATTGACTCTGTGTTTTGTGGGCGAAACGGTGGCAGCCAATTGTGCACAGCAGTGTCCCACCCATCGTCGTGGATTGAGCGATCTGCCAAAAGGCTTAATAGCACTTTTGTTGAGTTGTTCAGGAAAATACTGACCGGGGCAGTTAGGCATGTCGCAAGTCCTTGATTCAGTGGCTGTACACGCGTATCCACAGGACCTTGTTCGCTTCTGGTTGCCGCTTCCGCAGGTGACACTGCAGAGCGACCAGGCGCTCCAGTCACCCTCTCCGTCAAGGTAATCTGGGGGAGGACAAAAGAAAATGTGCTTGAGGTTAGCTGCCGTCGGTTGCGGTGAGATCCATAATTGGAACCACGTGTTCTACCTGAATCTTAGGCCCAAACCCTTTCATTTGTATGCCGTTCAAATAGCTTTCACACGCGCGCATACACACACACACACACACACACATACGAAGCACTGCTGCCACATTCTTTCTTTAATCCAAGGCAGCTGGAAAGTTTCAGCTGTAAATCTTTATTACGGAGCCAGCGGTTCGCAACGGCTGACTTTTTGCCGCAACAAACACTGGCGTGTAAATTGAAAAAAAATATATCAAATCTCATTTTGCAGCGTACATCTGAGAGTCTTAATTATTGTTCGTGAAACGGCCAGCGTGATGTACGGAGGCTGAACCCCACAGCTCGGCTTTACTTGATCAGTCTGAAGTACAACAAATACTAAAACTACAATTGGTTGGACTGCTGCCATCACAATCCAGATGTTTTTTTTTCCTGCAGAACATACTTTAATCATACCTAATAATACTGGGGAGGGCATAATCACACAAACCATGTCATCCTGATGTAGACCATTTATTTCACTTGGTTTATTTCCAGTGAATGCTCTTAAGAACATTAGAATTGCTGGACGAAAGAAGGCCCCACGTCTATCGAGCTTGCCTTCCATGGTGGAAGGCAGTCGCATGCACTTGTCATGTCCCAAACTATGCATTGTATCCGAAGGTATTATTTCCTAAAATAAATCTAATTTGCTTTTGAAAGAATCAACACTCTTTGCTTCCACCGTCTCTCTCCCCAGAGAGCCTGTTCCATGTGTTTACTGAAACAGTGTTTTCGCAGATTTGTTTTGAATTTACCCCCTCTTCAATCGCAGGCTGTGTCCTCTGGTTCTACTGTACTGGACAAGATAAAAGAGTTTATCATGTTTCCGCTTTACTGAAGCCCGTAACCGGAATGGAATGTAGACTTACCATATTCTGGTTGTCCCTTGGATTCCCATTTCCGATGAGTGGCTGCTCTTCTGTCCCACCCACCCACAGGGTTCAAGAAATTGCTGTCTTCACCAGCACCATCATAGTTGCCATCACTGTCACCCTTGTGGTTTGTTGCTGACGATTTTTGCCACCAGTTCCTCCAGTCGGACGATGGTACCGGCCAGCTGGGTTTCGCCTCTCTTTGTAAATGTCTATCTGCCTCAATTTCGGTTCCATCCACCACCTCAATGGTAACCTAGGCAATGTGACGGAGGTTGTGTTATTTGCAGGTGGACAAACCTAACGCGATATCAACACATCATCATCATCGCTGATGGTTTTGCAACATTCTATTTGTTTTCCTTTTCCGATTGCCCCCCCTCCCCCCCTCTCAATCACTTCAGATTCCCATCGGGCAGAGAAAATCCAACTGCCCACAGCCGAGTGCAGAGCGTGTGACTGTCAGGTAATGTAGTGAAGCTCTCTGAGACGCTACCCCTCCTCACACTCATCTACAAATCTCTTCACTCCCTGGTACCTCCCTAGCTCTCTGATCTGCTTATTCCTCACCGCACCACCTGCTGACTCAGTTTGGCTGGCTCCAGGCTCCTTCATGTCCCTCATCCCCTCCATTCCACGTCTCAAAGCGCTTCACAGAATAGCTATGCTTTCAGCCACTACGCCCTGAAACTCTGGAATTCTCTCTGAGTTTAGGCGCTATATAAATGCAAACTGTTGTAATTAGTGTCCAGTGACAGGTTGAACATATCGATATCAACAACAACAATTCACACTTATATAGCACCTTTAAGGTTAGGAGAATGAATCAAAGAACATTAGGCCGAAAAGTTGGTTGACGTGACAAAATTTAATGCGTAAAACTCTTTTTTTGGCTTGCATTCGATAATTTTAAAAAAGGATTTAAGAACATTGCATTTCCTTGCAAAACTGCCCGTAATTTTAAGCAGAAGGACAACTATGAGAATTGAATAGCTATTGCAAAGAATTGTGAACTTTATCATTCACTGGGGATTTCTGGAGGGATTTTAGTACACAACATCTGTTAGTATGGAACATCTATGAAAAACATTGAACTCATTGAGACTGTTACTGTCAGTGGAACACACATAAACTGCATTGCAAAGGTCTCTTCCCTCCCAGCTTGCAAAGCTTCCCATGGGAACTTCCAAGAGTAAACTGTGAAATGTCTTCTCGAGTTCTGAAGACAATCAAGTGAAAATTCCTGGATATCAGTTTAAGAATTGCAATTCAGGTAATTCAACTCTCGTAGTCTGGCAATTATGGCATCTAGGTGGTTTCTACAGGCCTGTTCCTTGCCGCATCTGATAATCTGTATCTGATCTTTATTAAAACGATAGAGTTGCTTAGAAGTTATAATTTAGTGAGTTCAATTATCATAGTAATAGAAGAGCCTGAGGGTTGAAGAGAGTTTGGTAACAATTATTAATTATTAATGTCTTCAATGCTCTACCATGTCCTGATGTATCTAGTGATGGTAACACAGGTCTCTTGACTTCCTGCCTCAATCCCTCTGGCTCGCCCATCTCTTTATCTATCTTTAAATTCCACTTGAAGATCTACTTTCTTCCTTGATCAGCAATCTGACCCCGCCAACTGTGCTCAGTTATTGCTGCTCCATCTCATCACTCTGAATGGATCCAACATTTCCCAGCTCGGAGGCTAGTTCGCTCGCCTCCAAGTCACAAATCGTGGGACTAAAGCTCACAGAGTCTAAACTGACACTTCAATGCAATCATAGGGGGAGTTTTCTGACCAACAATCCTCCATGGCTGTTGTGGGACATTTCTGCAAATTTCTGGAAATTGTCCATCGAGCCTTCAGGTAAGTTATAATAATAATAATCCTTGCATTTTATACGGCGTCTCATTACCTCATTGAGACGTCTCAAAGCGCTTCACAGAATATATTGTAAAGTGGATTGACTGTGTATTTTGTGAGCGAAACGCGGCAACTAATTGCACACAGTTGTATCCCACAAACAGTAGTGGATTGAGTAACCAAGTTACAAACGTTAAATTTTTATGTTTAAATATAATAATAAAAAACACACTAATTTCGGCAAGAAGAAGCAGCAATGCAATCCACAGACAGACGTGAAAGAAAAATGACCCTCCCATGGGCCTAAGCAGCTATTGTAAATTTTAGCACTTTTCGGGTCCTGTGGTTAAAAATGCGTTAAAAAAAAGCCGCATCTGCCCTAACCGCTTGGAACCTTTCACCACTTTTCCACTGAGCTCCCAGCAGAAGACAAGACACTCCACAAAAAGGTGGGCCGGGCTTTAAATAGCCTTCTCTGCACCCCAGCTGAGAACTGGCAAAGCTATTTTAATAGTAACCAGATTGTGTTTGGTCAAAGAATATTACACGTAATATTTGCCGCTTTGGAACGAAAGAGGTTCCTTTTAAAGGAACCTGCGTTGGGGAGTAAAAGACGCTTCCCAAAGATAAGGATTTTCTGAAATCCTGCACAATCTTAGCATTTTAAAAGTTAAGCGGTCTTAAGGCTAAGACCCATGACGCTTTCAGGTATCCAGTCTATTACAGCAATTATGTTTGTGACACATGTGTAGGTATTTATTTTGCTGTGTGTGGTGGAGGGTTTTGAAAGAGGTTATTGGATACTATGAGCGTACAGCAGGAAAGGCAATGCATTTGGATGGGGATCTTCTCGATTGCAAAATAACTAAACCGAACTAATTTGTTATCCTCTCATCCAATAAACTCTGGCACCGTACGCTTTCCCGAGCTCCCTTTTGCAAGCTTTGTAAGTTCACGTTGCGTCCCCGGAAGGCTACATCACTCATACATTCCTTGCTGAGGTTTCTTGAAACCACCGAAGAAAAATGGCAGAGAGGGCATTTCCGCCATTCCTTCGCTCGAGCCAAACATTGCGTCATGCTATAACACTGAATGTTAACAGGGGATCAGTTTAAGAAAAAAGATAATTTATTAGCTGAAAAATTTGTAAGAAAAACATATCCATTACGCAGTATATTGAATTTCCAATTTAGAGTGTAGTCATCAGTTAGATAATTAGCTTGCGTTTACCTACAGAACACACAGCCTCTACACTTCACAGTCAAATCCTACAAAGCACTTCAGAGACGTCCTCTCGACCGTCGTGAAAATAATAATAATTATAATCGTTGCATTTGATACGGCGCTTTATCATGTGGTTGAGACGTTTCAAAGCGCTTCACAGAATATATTGTAAAGTGGATTTCCTGTGTATTTTGTGGGCCAAAAGCTCTTGACCAAACTAAAGGATTATATTTATTATAATTATATTCATTTAACTACTAGGTACAACGATTCAGTCATGTGCTTTCTGAGAGCAAAGTTTGAGATCAGAATTATATTGATTTGCTAATTTGAAACGCGACTCTCTCCCCCGTTAGGGTGGATGTTTTGGATATTTTTATGGGGAGAAAAATATATTTATTTAATAAATTTATTTATTTATTTTATTTAAAAATAAATTCCTTATTTATTTAAATCCCCTTTTCATGCTGTTCACCATTAAAGTGGGTTAAAAGGTTACTTAGTTCATGTTGCCAGTTAGAAAATGTACAAAGAGTTAGAATATAAAGATACAGCAAACGCCTTGTAACTCAACTCTTCCTTAACTACCAATCAAGTTAATTGGTTGCTGCATTTCACCCACAGTCAATTCACTTTACAGTATATTTTGTGAAGCGCTTTGAGAGTCTCAAAGACGCAATAAGGTGCTATATCAAATGGAAGGATTATTATTATTAAGTCATTGTGCTGTCAATATCCTAGCCCAATTTATTTATGTATTTATACATATGCCTAACTCACCACTCCTGATAACTTGTCAATGAGCCCTTTTCTCTTGGAGTGATGAGTTATTGAGGGGATTGTTCCAAGTGAAGATGTGACAGACAGTTTGAAGCCAGATCAAAGATTATGGAAGTCTAACTTGCAGCCTGAGTTTTAGAGATTCTGAACGTATTGAATAGGGTTGGCTTTTAGCCAAGCAAAATACTCGAGAGTAAGCCACCATCCCTCTAAACAGGCAGCTGAAAGCTATGATGTGCGATCTAGAAATTGAATGTGTACACCCAGCTTCATGGACAGTGAGAACATTTTGGGGTGGGAGGAGGGGAGAGAGGCAGAGGAAGGGTGTTCACCTCTGGCGAATCTGGGTCTTTCTATTCAATACTTTAGGATTTACCAAATTTAATCCACATTTCATCCCCTAGATCCGTCAGCCTTCTAACCAGCCCACCCTCCCAATGGTTCACTGAATATAATGCAGCTCTAAGGATCTAACAGGTTGCATTTGAAACGGTGCCTCATCACATCAATGCATATTAGGGGGTCTTTGCAGCACAACAACAAATTACATTTCTAAAGCGCCTTTCACGACTGGAGGACGTCCCAAGGTGCTGGGAGTGACTTTGAAGTGTGGTGTCTTGTTATGCAGGTAATCTGCACTGGCAATCAAGCCCAAAAACAGCAGTGTCTCAAAAATAATAATAATCCTTACATTTAATGTAGCACCTTATACGTCGAGAGGACGTCTGTCTCAAAGTGCTTCACAGGATAATCGATACAATTTACGTTTACACAGCTCCTCTCACATCCTTCTGTCGTAAAAGACATTAAACCAAATGCATGTAAGGATATCAACCTTTGAATAGAACACAGGGTTCGTAAAGGTCAGCGCTCTAACATAGGACTGTGTGAATTATTTCCAAAGAGAATCGTTGAAGCAAAACAGCCTTGCAAAACCCAAAACAACAACAAATTGCATTTATACAAAGCCCTTCACCTGGGAAGGACGTCGCAAGGCACTGGACAGTTAAGGGATTGCACCTGAGCTGGAGGGGGTGGGAGGGGGCCGAAAGCACGACCAAAGAGTAAAATCTTGAGATGGGCCTTGAAGGAGGCAATGGAGTGGGTGAGTCGGAGGGATACCAAGATGGAATTCCAGAGGGTGAGGGCAGAAAAGCTGAAGGCCTGACCACCAATGGTGAGGCACGCCTGGCAGGGGACATGAAGCATGCCAGTGCCTGCTAAGCGGAGGGAGCAGACAGGTTGATATGGTGTTGATAAGTTACAGAGTTAGGGAGGGGCAAGACCCTTTAAAAGATAGATTGAATGGAAATACTGCAGAAGTACCAGTTGCAGGGGTCTCCACACTGGCCGTACTCAAATTCTACGACAATGAATAAGGCATATTTTTTGTTAGTTTGTGGGGAAAAAAAGCACTAAATCATTTAAATTTTACAAGAATTACTTTTTTAGAAAGTGGCCATTTTTGCTCAGTTTTGGAATTGCCCCTCCCTAACTCTGTAACCTATTAACACCATATCACTGCCACCTCTCCCACTTACAACGCTCGTACAATTCGAACTGGCAAAATTCTGAAACTCTCGTAGGTTAGTGGAAAAAGATGAGGCTCAAAAAGACAACCAATAGATGAGTTTAATCAAGTGGAGCCATGTATTGAATTGGATCCCTAACAGCAACATCTGTATTCTGCACTTGGCTGCCTACTCGACGGTGGGCAACCTCTGTGCTTAAATCTGATTGCAATAAACTCCTGATAACTAAACTAAACCCTGCATTAACTTGTCACTACCGCTTAAGTCATCGGGCTGTCAATATCCTGGCCGCAGTTATTTGCGTATTTATACATATGCCTAACTCGCCACTCCGAATAACTCGTCACTGAGCCCCTTTCCCTTGGAATGATGAGTTATCAGAAGTTTACTGTGTTTATCACAGTGTGGGTTAATGGCACAGATCAGCTTGGGTGAGTGATAACTGGTCACTGAACTCTTTTCCCTCGGAGAGCAACAAATTAGCAGGAATTTACTATGCTTCTTTTTTATATAGAAAAAAAGCTAAATCTAAAAAATATAAGTTGAGTTTCCCTGTTCTGCAGGTGTGACATCGTGGGTAGCTTTCAATAAGAAGTCTGAAAGCTGTTCGTTTTTCTGTTGGTGTCCAACCCACAGTTTCAGTTGAGAAAGTCTGTCAAGTTCGCAAATGTTTCATTTTTAGTTTTGTACAGATTTAGCTGCTTTTCCCCCAAAAAGGAAATCACCAGCTTCTTCTCCCAGTCGCTCCTCAAAAGCAGTCAGTAAAATGAGCAATAATTCAAATGTGACGAATTTGGGCCTAAAAATTAGACCAATGAATTCCTACAGACTAATATTCAGTGATCCAAAAACATCAATTTGCACACATATATATATATATGGCGCCTTTCTCACGGGAAGAAAATGTTTTACAAAGATGGAGTTGGAGCCTGAGCTGGGAGGGAGATAGGAGGGAAAGGGGGCCGGTAAGCAGAGTAGGATGATTTCAGAAGAGAGGTCTGTGGGAGGGAGAGGGAATGTGGGAGTGACTGGGCAATGCGGTCAACAGAAGATTTTAGATGAGTCAAGCCATTCACACTTGCCACATTCTACAGTGTGGATGTAAAATGCATTTATCCGAATAGACCTGTCCAAGCCCTCCGCTCTGCAAAATAGGCCTGCTCCATGTCCGCTGCCTTTGTAACTTCATCCCACGGTCCCATCGCCTTGCCCAATCTCTTGCCTCCTTCAAGGCCCGTCTCAAGTCCCTCCCTGATTGTCCAGCACCTTAGGACATCCACCAGACACGAAAGGCGCTACACAAATGTAATTTGTTGTTGCTCCAAGTAGTATGAGGAGCAGGGCTTTGAAACATGCGGTATAAATGCAAGTTTACAGGATCACATCAGAATAGAATGTTTTGAGGGAATGAGGAATGACTGGGAAAAGTTAATTGGAATGCCAATAATGTTTGCAAATTGGCAGTAATAAAAATGCGGGAGATATTTATAGGACTGTTTGTGAGACTGAAATCAAAACTCATTCCAGCTGTATCTGAAGGGCTACATGGTGGTTGAGCAAAGATGCAAAATATAGTCGGAAAAATAAGATTGTAAATCCGTTTGAGGAATCTGGGTAAAGGATTGAGTGGACTTTAAAGTGAAGCAAAAGCAGGTACAGAGATAGTCCAAGAGAAACTGAGTGCAGGACGTGAACAATATACAGCATATATTTACATAGTGGAGTCCTCAGTGGATAGAGTGATTGCCTCATAAGATGGAGACTTGGGTTTGATTCCCAGCAGGGCGAAAGGTTGGGTAAGTTTCCTTACTCCACACGCCTCTGTTTACCTAACAGTAAGTAGGAACCCGGTTGTTAGTTGACTGGCAATTGTTTTTCCAGGGATTAGGGGTAGGGTTAGGATTATTCCTTCAAAATAAATGTAACAATTGTTGTGGGACAGTCCTGTGCACAATTGTGCTTTTTACCCACAAAATATACAGTCAATTCATTTTACAGTTTATTCTCTGAAGCTCTTTGAGTCGTTTCGAAGATGTGATAAGGCACTATATCAAATGCAAGGATTATTATTTATCGAAATATATATATGTAGCCACTGAAGGATGAAGGAAAGTATATGTGTCATAGAGAATGATGCTGCAATACTGGAATATACGGATGTGCAACTTTGAACTTGTGCCCTCTTGTTCTTCTGCCTGGTGTATTCATAATCATTATTAATTATTATTATTAAGCATTATTATTATCATTGCTCTGAGTTTATTTTCTCCTCATCCCATTTACATCAGGCAAATTTTGCGGAAAACTGGTTATTCCAGCCTACAATTTGGAATCCTGGACTTTTAAGAAATGTGGAAAAACTGCCTTCCAAATGAGACTGACTGTAAGAGATTCGCATAACTCTGGCAATCTTAGATTTTGAGGCAAAAATGATCTTGCGAGCTAAAACCAGGTGGAAATTCAGGGCTTTGCTTTTTTTGACAACGCTTTTAGTCTGCACCCTTAAGATTCCCTCTCTGCTCTTTTCTGTTAGGTTTTCCTACTACATCCCATGTGATAGGTGCTATATCAAGTTCTTTTTTGGACACTCCATATGAAGCAGAACGTTGTTTGGGTTTTTTTTACATGCGGGTTAATATGCATTGCAGAATAAGTTGAGCTATGAGCTACGATTAGCCAAGCTAGGGCTCTTCTATCTTGAGAGAAGATGATTCAGAGGAGACCTCATATGACAGTATAACAGTAAATCCAGATCATTACTTTAGAATACACCAAGACAGCAAGAGAACACAAGTTTTAGTGTTGTAACTTCGGGACAGATACAAGGATGTTTTTCTTTACTCCGAGGGTAATCAACGACTGGAACAGCTTGCCAGGGACGGTGGTTGAGGCCAGGACACTGGGACTCATTTAAAAAGCAGGGTGGGTGTTCTGGAGGAATATGGTTGGATGGGCCAAAGGGCCTTCTTCATCTAAATATTATATTATTATTATTATTATTAAACCAATCTTGTGATCCTGTGAAGTTTCCAGGAAAGCAGAGAGCACAGATCACTTCAAGATGCGATGAGTTGTATTTCTGGAAGGAGCTGATAGACAAATGGGCATCTCCTGTCCTTAAACATTATTAGGCTCTTAAATTAAATGAGTTACATTTTGGCTCAAACAATAACCTCACTCATAACCGGCAGACCTTATATCTCGCCACCTCTGTAGGGGTAAACAATATGATCACTGCCGCAGAATGTAAGGAAACAATAATAATCTTAATATGGCGCCTTCATGTCAGGAAGACGTCTCAAAGCACTTTGCAGAATATACTGTAAAAGTGGAGTGATTATATGTTTTGTAGATGAATGACTAAAAGATATTGGTAGTTATTTCCACTGCCGAAAGGTTATAGTGAACCTGCCAAACTGGCACCATTAGATAGAACACCCATTTTACCTGTATGTTGGGATTTTGGCCATTGATGTCCGCTTTGGACAAATCAGGGAAGTTCTCCAGATCTAGCAGGAATGTTCTGGGTCCATCTCTCTGGAAGGGGACATGTCCATCCTCCTGCTTGGGCTGGGGTTTGGGAAACGTTCTTTGTCCAGTCCGATAAAGAGGAGAGACATTCTTCCCTTCGGAGTCAGTCCCTGAACCAGAGGCTCGAGCCAAACTGGAAGACGAAGGGTTTCCCATATTAACGCCATTCTGTAAACAAAGAAAATATCAGCGTAGATCAAAACAAATGCAGTGAACTGAGCAACGGAAGTTAGCAGAAACACTGTGGGTAGTGCGTAGAGTGCTGGAGTATAGAATAGGGGAATTCAAGTTTGGTCACCTCACCACCAACCTTACTGAGATCCTGCCCTCATTCACAATGCTGTGGTAAGGTGTTGAGTGAGGTGTCTTTGTCATTGTACCTTGGTTGGCCCCAAGGTCTGAACAGCTCCTATGCTGTCCTAGAAGCCTCTCTCTCTGTGAAGGGCGCTATATTGTTGTTATTAATAAGTTGTTGTGATTGTTGTAGAATCCTTTAACACTACTCAAGAAGTACCCCAACTCCCTCCCCCATTTCTCACGTAGCGAATGTCCTACATCTTTAACTTGGAATAAAGGGGAAGTGTGAAAGAAAGACACAGTCAGGATACTTATAGTCATGTTGCACTATACCCAGCTGCCATTTTGTAGACAATGGGGGAGAAGTGAACCAATAGCACAGTCATAGAGTTAGGTCTGTAGGCAAGACCTTCGAAACAAGGGGCGAGGGCAAGAGAATTAATTGAGAGAGCACCACGGGCTGCTGGTGAGGCAGGGAGCTTGAAGCAGCCTGCAGTTGGTGGCCCAGAGGGGGTAAAGTCGCAATGCAATTGCATGGAGTCCTGTAGCATATTGGTTAGGGCACTCGCCTTGCAAGCAAGAAGACCCGGGTTCAAATCCCAGTCAGGGCGAAACCTTGGGCAAGTTTCTTTATTCCACCTGCCTCTGTTTACCTAGCAGTTAGTAGGAACCCAGCTGTTTGTCGATTGGCGGATCGCTTTCCGGGGATAATATTATCCTAAAAAAAAGAACTGGTCATTCACTCCATGGCTGTTTGTGGTGTGCGCAATAGGCTGCCTCGTTTCACCCACAAAAATATACAGTCAATCCACATTACAATATATTCTGTGAAGTGCTTTGAGACGTCTCAACGAGGTGATAAGGCGCTATATCAAGTGCAAGGACTATTATTGCAGAGGTAGTTGTGGGGCTAGGCCACTTGAAGATAAACACAAGAATCTTCAACTAAAACCAGCCTTCTGACCCTAGGAGTTAAGAGCAAAGTCACATTGACTTTCTGGAACACCAAGGTGGCTGCATGGTTTGCAAATCCAGAACAAGAGCAACCAACATGTGAAAGTCGGGGGTTTGTTTTAGTACCATTGGATAGATAATAAGCAGGAATTCTGTAACAGACTATGTGATAATTATCACCAGAATATACCATAAGGTCCCCAATAATGAATTAGAGCCTTAAATGATTGCCAAACAGGTATTAAGTCATGCTATATACTGTATATATTTTCAGCTGCTATGTTCCTAAACTCTGGAGCTCTTTCCTTCTGCTTTTCCGTCTCACGGCCCTTCCATCTCACTCGCGCCACCCTCTCCACACACAACTATCAATTAGGTCGCGCCTTAAAACCTACCTCTACAACTGCGTCTCTCCCTTTCCCCCCCACCCTCTCCCTTGATCGTCACTGTAAAGCACTCTGAGGCTTTATCCTAAATTAAGTGCACAATATAGATGCAAGCATTCTTACTCTACACACCTCTGTTTACCTAGCAGTAAGTAGGAATTCAGTTGGTATGTCGCCTTTCCGGGGGTAATAAAAGTCCTTTCAAAATGAAGAACAAATTGGTCACTCATTCCACAGCTGTTGGTGGGACACTGCTGTGCGCAATTGGTGATTCGTCCATTTTCTAGGCAATTCACTCTATAGTATATTCTGTGAAGCGCTTTGAGACGTGTCAAAGACATGATAATGCGTTATATCAAATACAAGGATTATTATTATTATTATCACTGCCCCTACAGCCTTTAGCAGCTCTTTATTAAATTCGCTTTTTACTTGCTGTCTAACACCAGATGCTTTAAGCACGGCAAAGGCAAAGTAAATGCTGCTGAAAGGTTAATAAAGACATTAGTGATTCAGGACCTGAAGGAACAGCAATGTGACTGGTGCCATATAGTCTTACAAGGCTTTTGGCTCAGTAATAGGTTACTAGGAAATAAACTACACTCTTCATTATTGGATTATATATCACAGTGCATTAAAATGTCAGCTTGCTGAGCGCAGAACCAATCCTGAACAAACCTGTGCCTCATAATGTAACACAACAATATTGAATTCAAAACCATGTTAACTCTTGAGTAATAGACATCCGCGAGAGTTTGGAAATCCGCTTAAGACTTGTGGCCAAGTGATCCCTGGGGTGGATTACTTTACTGATTATATCTTGCTCATGTTATAATATGTAGCAGAAAAATGCCTTTCCACATGACTGGCTACTAAAACTCTACACTGCTGCAGCTCTACATTCACTGGGAGGCAATAATAATAATAATGCATTTGCATTTTGCATTTGATATAGCGCCTTATCACGTCGTCGAGATGTCTCAAAGCGCTTCACAGAATAAACTGTCAAGAGAATTAACTGTATGTTTTGTGGCAGAAATGCGGCAGCCAATTGCGCACAGGAAGATACCTTGTCCCAAACGTGAGCCAGACTCCTGTGCTGACTGCCTGACGGACAGGGAGGTTCTGCTCAGAAAACAGCCTCGAATTTTACAGCAAATCTTCACTTCAAAGCGCAATTCGCTCTCACCTGCGTTTCTAAAAACAGTCCTCGACAGAGGAAGGGGCTCTGAGACTCTACTTCAGCAAATTAGGCAGTTTCTTTCCAAAAAAAAAAGCCTTGAGCATTTAAAAGCTCAGTTTTGTTTTCAGAGCGCCCCTGATCTGCACCACTTTAAACCGACTCCTATGGGAGATCATTTTCTAGTGTTGCTAAACATAAGATTGAATTTCCAAGGGACGTGGGTCAGTGGTTCATGCTTTTTGTTATTGTTACGCGTGTTCTCGGGTTCACAGTGTACATTTTGGCACATTTCCTCGTACTCAGTCCGAGTGCAGCAACCAACCCCTGCCTCAAACCCCTGCCTCAAACTCTGCCGTCGGCCCGAGGTAAATCAGTGACCTGACGTAATGCAACCCATTGAGCAATAGGCAGGAAATGTTTACCAGAAGCTTAATTAGCAACCACGCTTCCATTTCACAGGCACGTCCTGCGCAAATTAACAAGAAGCGTGCGTGCACATGCTTTCACATAAACAAACAAATCGCGCACGTGCGCGCGGGCATGCGTGTGCTTGCACAAAGGTATGCACATACATCCTTCACGCGTTCCTGAACCGTGTTTTCACTGTGTACTTTTATTTGTTTCAAACAACCATTTACTCTAACTTTCACCTTGCAAGTTAAATAAAGTTTGCCTACAAAATGCACTTTACAGTGAATCCTGTGAAGCAAATTGAGACATCCTCCCGACATGAAATGTGCTTTGACAAAAGTTAGTTTATAATAATAATAATCCTTCTATTTGATATAGCACCTTATTTGTTGTTGAGACGTCTCAAAGCGCTTCGCGGGATATACTGTAAAGTGAATTGACTGTGTATTTGTGGGCGAAGTAAGTACGTTTATACTTACAATATAAGTTTATTACTTTATACACAACGCCCTCAGTGAGAGGTTTGAGTGTGGCTGTGGAATGAGTTTCAAAGCCTCACCACCTGGGCAGTCATCTCGACTTGGCCAATTGAGACATTAAGCCGAGGTCTGACTGTTCAGGTGGATGTTAAGAGATCCGATTTAAAAAAAAGGGAGTTTCTCTCTCCCCATTTCCTGGCCAACAACCCCCCAAATAAAATTGGTAATGCCTCCATGGCAGTTTGAGGGCCATTTCTGTGCACAAAACTGGTTGCCACGTTTCCCCCCACAAAATATACAGTCAATGCACCTTACAGTATATCTTGTGAAGCGGTTTGAGATGCGTCAACAATGTGATAAGGCACTATATCAAATACAACGATAATGACAAAATTATAAAATAATAAAATAATTTTACACTACACTTTATAGTATATTCTGTGAAGCGCTTTAAGACATCTTGAAGATGTGATAAGGCGCTATATCTAATGCAAGGATTATTATTATTCCTTACAAGCAGGGAATAGGGGACTTTCATGCTGTGCGTGGATCTTGAATATGAAGAAAATAACCCATTATTAAGATGTCAGCTTGACTCACATCGGGGCTTTGAACTCACACATTCTAGGTTGATACTCCAATGCAGTGCTGGGGGAACGCTGCATTATCCAAGGCGCCGTTCTTCGGATGAGACTTTAAAGTGAGGCCCCATTGCCTGTTCAAGTGAATATTAAAGCATTCGCCTCTCAAGCGAGAGACCTGAGTTCGATTCCCAGCAGGGCAAAACCTTGGGCAAGTTTCCTTACTCCACACACTTAATAATAATCCGTCAAGAAAAAAAAATAATAAATTGGTCACTTCATTCCACGACTGTTTGTGGGACACTGTTGTGCGGAATTGGCTGCTGCGTTTCGCCCACAAATATACAGTCAATTCACTTTACAGTATATTCTGTGAAGCGCTTTGAGACGTCTAGAAGACGTGAAAAGCGCTAGATCAAATGCAAGGATTATTATTATTAATATTAAAGATCCCATGGCATTGTTCAAAAAGAGAAGAGTTTCTCCTGGTATATGGCTAACAATTTCCCAAATAAAACTAATTATTCCAACTTACCGTGGCTGTTTGTCAGACATTGCTGTGTGCCTCTGTGTTTGGGTACAATAAAGACAGTCGTTATATTTTACTGTAAATCCTGTGAAGCATGCTGAAAACATCTGCTGTGTTTTTAACAGTTTCCTGTTTGTATATAGGGCACCCTTTCAAGATATCTCATTCAGATCCAAGTAGAAGCACACATACCGCGGTGGGCGTAGGGGGTTGGGTTGTGAACGGGTGGATGGGAGGGGGGGGGGGTAAAGAAGAATTTAGCATATCCTTATTTGCCTTGGACAGATGTATGACCGACCAGCTGGTTCACATAGCAGCGCTGAGGTCAGAGATGTGAAGGGGGCCAAA